CCCCCCCCCCCAAATGTCTCATATTGATAAATTATTACGAGAAAACGCACAAATTTTGTTAACATATAAAAGTTTTATTTAAAGTGTACGTCGATATGAGAAATGCAATGCAAAATAGCTATGAACTAATCTGATAAATTTGGCAACAGTACCTCTGTGTCGATATAAAGATCAATTCGGTGTTTAAGGTATGGGAAGAGCAGGCTGGGGAACTTGTGTGCACCAAGTGCATTCTTGCTTTCTTGCTTACACACGTCACCGTCTCCATTTTTGCCAAATGAAGCCTCTGAATCAACATCGGAGCTACTGTCTAGTATTTACATACAGATTTCATCTGCATCAACTTCTCGTAAATTGGCGTGCTGACGTGTCTGGTTGACCGCCATGATTGTAGGCCTGCTGGCATGAGCACTCGACTCTCATAATCACTCATAATGCCGATTTCTTCACAGAGAGCTGTTAAGGATTTGCATTGGGCTTATGTTTAATTCACAGTCACGAAGAAGCTGCAACAGTACAGACCAAATACCTACAAATTGTATGTAGATTTGCGGGGCAAGGGAAGAAAAAGTTACGCATTGAATAATTTGACCCCTCTTCGCGTAATAAATATGTACTCCGGAATTAATCTCCACCAAATTCAGAATACTTCCGACGCCTGTAACAGCATATAAATCGAAGGAAGTTACGTTTATATCTTACGTCTAACGAATATTACGAGGTATACTCAAGTTATTCCGAATTATTTTCTTTAAAATTGAAACTTCTTCACTGTCGCTATAACCAACTCGCATATTTCAGTGAATCAGCCCAGCTTTCGATCTGACGGCGTGTGGGGGTAAAGATCGGCGCATTCTTAACCTTTGTGCTAGTTTGAGATGAGTAGTTTGTGACACGCTCCGGCCGCTTTACCAACAATACCCATTGGATAAGAAGATGAACGCTTATCAGACCTGGTATTAATGTAGAAACAAAGAGAAAAATGCCTTCTTTGCATAGACACCATGGAAAGCACTGTCAAATGAACCCTAGACAAATAACAAATCTGATCTTACCCGGAATCGAACCCTTGTCGTCCAGTTCGTAGCAAGTCACTTTAATAAATGACGGTCAGTGAAGTTACTTTAATATCACGATCATAGTACAAGTTGATGTCACAATTTTGACCAATATTCCACGTTCAAAATCCAAACAAAAATGTACCTACCTTAATTATTACGAATTTTTACAAAGTTTGCCTGTCTTGTAAGCAACACGTATAACACTGATGCTGTATGTATAGTCTCTGTGCCTCTGGGTTCACGTCATCTCGTAGGTAAGAACATAATATGACGGAAATCTGCAGCCAGAAGTTTGCTTCTGCGAATATATCAGAATACAAGCATAATCAGAGATATATCCTTCATATCTATAAAAGGGAGATAAAACCTAAGCTCAGAAATTATCGAGAATTATCGCGCTCATATCAACTTTGTACAAAGTTTTATATCTCAGAACATAACACTCTTCATAACCATAGATGGGTACTGGAATAGTAACTGGATTTATGGAACACGTACTCAATCATAACTACAAGTAACTATAGTGCTGTTGCTAAGCCACAGACTCTGCAGTTCACTACAGGATGTACTAAGTCTTCTCAGTCTGCTGTGTCTTCATCAGTCGTTACCTGGTGATGGATTCCAACAATATCCTTTGCTTCCTTGCTTGTGTTCTTACCGGCTGGTGACTGATCCACAACTAACATGTTGCTCCAACTGTCCTGCTTATAACATCTCGGCATGAACTGCACAGAAAACGCCTTTCCTCTGTTTCCAGTTGTTGCCATGCAAACTTGCTTGTTTGCGAGGCCATAACTCAGTAACAGCTATTGTATTTTTGCTTATCTCACAGTTGTTGCCTAGCAATGGGTCTACATGTCATACTATCAAGGAAACAAGCATAAGCATTTGGTCTGCCAGGCCATGTTTAGTTACAATTTAATAATGACCACTGGGAGGTCAGGCAGACCCTTAAAATTAACATTTTAAAGGACAGTGGTTACATGTGTGTTAGCATTAAAAAACCCTTCATTTTGCCCATACATTGCATTTATGTATTTCATTTGGTTCTCACAGTACACAGCAATTATTTCATAAACAGCTTTAGCCGATTGGTCTTTATAATGGTGAAGCAGTGTGTTTCCTGTGAGGTGGGAACTCAATTTTTGAATATTATTCACTTGATTTTCAAGCTTCAGACAGTTAAGCACTAAATAAATTCATATCAGAAGAACCTGTGCTTCTGATAAGGCAAATCATGCATACATCAAAGGGTTAACAGGCGAAGTGCATGTTTATTTTTCAGGAAGAGAGGAAGCAAAACACGCAGGAGAGGCTCTGAATTCAGAGAGACTGAAGTTTGATGTTGCTTACACTTCAGTACTAACACGGGCCAATGATTCACTGGAGATTATACTCAAAGAGATCGAGCAGCCGGAACTTCCGGTGACACAGGCATGGGAGCTGAATGAACGGCATTATGGGGCCCTAACTGGACATAATAAAATAGAAATGGCTGTCAAATATGGAAAAGAACAGGTAGGAATATTTACCAAAATTGTGACTGGGGATCTCAAATGTGTCCAACCGGGCCGCGTATGGGTGATCTTTTGGTGTCTGTCCACACGTTTCAGTTCAGAAAACTACTCACTGGATCTGGTTGAAATTTTGCATTGGTGGTTTATGAGCTAAATGTTTCTGAAATACCAGATGTCAGAATTATCATGGATATGTAATTCTTATGTGGTCAAAAAATTTGTCATGGAACCCAAAGTTTGATTCCTGCTTTTGCATCTACCTTGTGCCAGTTCAAACCAGTTATGTTCATGTCCCATAGTAATATTACTCTCCCATCTCTGCTTCAGTATGCTCTCACAGAAGTACCTGATGGATCATCTGTTTATTTGACAATGCTGTCGGCATCAAGATAATATAGTAGGATTATTAATAAATAAGCAGTTGGTGGAATGAGACTTGGCAGGGGAAATCAAAGTACTAGGAGGAAACATGCCCCAGGGCCACTTTTTCACCATAAATGCCGCATGACCTGACCTGAGATCGAACCCAGGCTGCTGTGCCAGGAATCCAGCCCCTGATGAATTGTCATTCATATGATTGGTTGCATGATGAAGTTGTGTGTTTGCATATGCAACAGAGGGAAAGAGAGGGGAGAAGCATTTTCTGCAAATGAGTGAAGAATACTTTGCAAAATGGCATCATGCTTTCAAGGGCAGAATGAATGGGAGAAACAGTCCCTCTGAATGAAGCAACTGAGGCAGAAGGGAGTCACAATAAACAGGCAAATGAAACAGTGACCCTTAAAAGGTCCCTGACTTCTCTCAACTTGCTATTGATTTACTCAAAGCTATTGTTTTCTTCAATCAATCTGCCCTTTGAAATCGACCTCTTAAATAGCCAATGTTCTTTACACTGTTCTCACTCCTGTTGGTTTGTCCCACCTCCACATATCCATAGTTTTTTTTTTGTTACATTCAGTTGCCTACCCTGAAGATTCAGGCAGCAAGTTCCTCTGCAAGTTTGGTACATATCTACCAGACTCTACGGGATCACATCCTAGACGATCACAGTCTTAACACCCACCTCCACAAACACCTCAGACCTTTTATACTGTATAGTATTTACCATGTATTTTCACAGGTACAAATATGGCGACGAAGCTTTGATGTACTTCCACCTCCGATGGGAAAAGATCATAAATATTATTGTCATATTGTTAACAATCCAAAGCTCAAGTCCATAAGAGACAAGATCCCACAAACAGAATCTCTCAAGACAACAATGCTTAGAGTGATTCCCTTCTGGAACAGTGCCATTGTTCCCAACATCAAGAGTGGGAAGCGAGTGTTGATTGTCTGTCATGGAACGAGCTTACGAGGAATTGTGAAGCATATAGATCGTAAGTTGAGCTTACTAGGTCACTTCTGTGCAGTGTATCTCAATGCTGCATTAGTACCACTTACATGTGCTTATTTATCTAGATATGGACAAGATAATATTAAAATGGATCTGAAAAGAACTAGGACAGGAGGGTGTGGACTGGATTCTTCTGGCTCAGGATAGGGACCAGTGAATATAGCAATGAAACTTCTGGTTCCATGAAAGGTGGTGTATTTACTGAGATGCTGAGCCACTATTAGATTCTCAAGTAGGACTCTGCTCATGGAGTTATGCTCTAGTGAGTGAAAAAATGAACAGATTGTATGGGTTCAAGTCGGTCACCTGCTCTGTCCCATGCTACCCACACGTCAGCAGCAATAACAGACACAAAATGCAAAAAAAGAGCCTCTAGATGTAACGAATGACAGAATGCAAGTGATAACTGGTGAGGGGGCTGCAAGGCAAGGAGGGAGGAGGTAGCTGTGAAACTGTGTTCATTCCTTCCCTAACCCAACTTTAGTTATGTGTACTTAGTCAATTTGCTTGTAGTGAACGGTGGAGATGCTCTAGCCAAACACTTCCAAGTTTGGAATCAAACAGCACAACAATCAGACTCAAATTTGAGTAACTCACATAAGATTCCTTCACCCATCTGTCTTCTCTCAAGAAATATTGATCCTAAGTGTCTGTTGTCTAACTAAGCTTGTCACACAGTTTAAATGAGATGAAACTTCAATTACGTAACTGAAATAGCTTCATCCCATGCAGTGATGTAAAACTTCACTTTGCTAAACACAGCCAGAAATTATATATCATCTCATTTGATGGAATTCATTGCAGTTGGATAATATTACCCATTCTGAAAATTGACCTAATTTACCAGTAAATGAGCCTGTGGTAAGACAGCCTAAGTATGAGTTGACCTAACTCAAATTAATGGCATAAGCCACAGAGCACCTTGTTTTTTATCACATAATTATTCTAAGTCTGAACCTCGCCAGGTAGCGTAGAAAGCCCAGTTCCACATTTCTTTTTCCAATACAAGTACTACTACCAGAGTTAAAATCTGCCCTCCAACATTACAGTAGCAGGAAATTTAAAGCCCCTACTTTCAGACGAAAAAGAAAGGTTAATACTTACGGTCAGTATACTTTTCTATAACACAACATTTTGTCTTTCAGGAATGTCTGATGAAGCTGTTATGAATCTGAATCTACCAACTGGAATACCGTTCATATTCGAGTTTGATGCAGATTTCAATCCTGTTGTTTCCATGAGATTTCTCAGCGATGAAGAAACTGTGATGAAAGCAATGTCAAAAGTTGCATCTATTGGAGATGTTGAAAAATGACAGTAACAAACACAGTAAGACTCATGTGACAGTCTGAAGTTACGATAACACTATAGATGCAATGAAAATAGAGCTTAAAAACAAATATATGGCATTCCACTAGATATAAGAGGAGAAACTTGGATATTAACCAACAATTTATATGTGTTTATTTCACTGGAATATGTCTGTATCTAAAGACTTTGACCATTTATTGAAACAATACCAGCATTTAAACTTAGGGTTACTAAATTTATATACAGGTGTATCAAAACTCAATGGCAAAACTTTAGGAATGGACTCCTCATAGAGAGAGAAGAAAAACAGTGTATGACAACATGGGTCCGGAAATGCTTAATTACAGAGTTATCCGACACGTGACAGTGTGATAAAATCGAGGATAAGATGGGTGACACAGGCAGTATGCAAGGGAAAGTGATATGTATGTACAAAATATTAGTCTTAATTCCTGAGGAGAATAGATCACTTGCAAGAACTAGACATTATCAGATGATAAAACTAAAATTTTATTAAAAAAATAGGATATTGGTTGAATTTTACTGCCTCATGATATAATCCCGCAGGATGTTACAGAGTTATCTCTCTATATGAGGAGTCCGATCCTGAAGTTTTGATACACTCTGTATAGAAGAATTTATCTTTTAATCATTTGCAATATACATGTAGCTAAAAATTCCATGCAGCATTCTGACATATTTTTACAGATGCTGTCAAAAGAAGTCCTGTGGATTGACCCCTTTCACAACTGTTTAACCCCCCCTGCATTCCCCTCCAGGTGTCTGTGATAACCTTCACTACCTTGAGCTGCTTGACATGACCCATAATAGGCTTGATGACAATTCCACTACTGAACTCAAGCACTGTCATCCCCACTGACCAAGATGCGGCTGTGTGCAGCTTCAGTGCAACTCCGTGACACAGTGTGTCTGTGCACAGCCGCACACAGAACCACCACTGCAGATCTGATTTCAGTTTCTGGGGGTATACTGGACTGATAATGTGCAGAACGAATTCCATATTCTAACTGCAGGGAGGCTGTTACATTTAATAAGCAACATTCTGAGGAACAAGAAGGTCGGACAAGTGTTCCTTCAGGAAGGAACTAAAAATGTGTTTTGTTTATATATGTTTGGTCTATTGTCTAGGTATTTAAAATGTGTTGTGAGTTGAGTGGACTACTAGTAGATGGCAGGTTGGACAACAGAAATTTTATCATATTTCTAAAACTGAAACAGAAAAATTAGTTTTTAACAGAGATATATTTTAATTATATATATTCAAATATCAGACAATATTTTATAAAACATTACACATTAAACACTTTATTTTTAAAGAATTATTGAAAATAAACACAGACGTGATTTATATTTCAGAGCAAGGGCATACACCACTGGTAACCATATACATTAGAATGTGGATGTAGCAGTTAGATAAGGCCCTCAGTCCTAATTTTCACTGAATACCACGAATCTTTGAAAATGCTGGATTTGTATTTCTCTCACTGGTGACCATGTACACTGCTGTCTTCTGGGATGTGTTGCCATGTAATCTGGTAGGTAGGATTTCACTGAAGCATTACGGAGGAATGTACTGCCTTTGTCTTCTGGCCGAAGAGTAAGCCAAGTAAGAGACCAGCAGAGTTCTGATCCTCTCAAATGTCAGTGTACTTTAACCAGAGTACACCATATAACATCCCAGACAACAGCTCTCTTCAACCTGTGAAAAGTTTAAGTTTCATATTCAAATGAAATTTTAATATAGTAAGTACACTCTTTGATTATTTGTGTGTAGCTTACCTATGCACATTCCTTCTCCTTTGATTATCATCTACATTTATTAATGTTTTCATGGCTAAGTACTGACATAGTAGCATGGACACGTGGTTCCTTATCAATCTATTTTAGCGCCAGGTTCGAGCTAGTTGACAAAGTACCATGTAGTGCACCAATGGAAGAAATAAAGGCACTTTTTGAACAATAAATGTATTATGTAGGATTTGAGATTTTCACAGTGGTGACTATGAAGAATGCCATTTTCCTGGATGTGGGATCATGTAGACTTGTGAACTGAACCGACATTTCGGAGGAACGTATTGCCTCCATCTCTAGGGTAAGGTCTGCTGCCACCTGCTCATGGTGGTTCCTCAGTCACAGACTTTTCGACCTGAAGACGGAGACAATGCGTTCCTCTGAAACGTCAGTTCAATTCACAGGATCTACATGATGCCACATCCAAGAAGACGGCATTCTTCATAAATGTATTATGTTGGCCATTTACAAAAACAAAAAAAAAAACGTGAAAAGGCTTCAAGAAACCTGACAGTTTGGGTTGCCCTGGGCACATAAATAACACACAGTACCTAAGGGGTTATAGATAGATTTATTTAGTACTTATGCATGAAGCTTTCACATCTTTCTCCTTATGTCTTTACAATTTCTTGTTTGATGTCCTTCACATTTTACGCTGTTTGGGGACTGCTGGAGATGGGACCTGAAGTTCTCCATACAAAGCACCCAGGTTGTGTTACTGCTGCGCATATAATGAGCGGTCAACAAACATCTGATCATTCTGACAGTATTTGGAAGGAGCATAAATTATGCAAACTCACGTTTACTCAATTAAAAAAAGCTATGAGGATTCAACTCATCCAAAACCTCTACTGCAGTTACTTGCATGTTGCTTTAATGGTCATGACTACCATACACACAGGCAAGAATAATGAACGAATTTCATAATATCTTTCGGTATTCTGTATCAGTTATGTGTCAGGGAATGTACATTCTTATAAACAACAGACATTTGCTGAAAGTTTTACTTATTAACATGGTCAACAGATAATAACTCAGTTTACTAGCCACACAAAAATTTCTTGATGGAAAATATTAAAATTTATGGTACAAAGTATCAGCCATAATTCTTCATCAATAGCAATTAGTTTGTTTTTCATCCCTACCCACTGATACATCATTTGTACTTAAAATATAGTCCTGATGGGACATGATGACCCTTGGCCCTGACTGGGTGTGGTGCAGAAAGCTCCAGCATGGACAGAAGAAGGTACCACTGTTGTGAAATCCTCATTTGGGCATCAGATGCAAACATGTACGGTTGTAAGCTCAAGCAAAGAGACGACAGCCACACACATTGTGACAGAACTTACAGGTAAAACATGCAACTGGCCAATATGTGACTGCCAACCAATGCTGTTTTGAGGCAGACAGATCAGAACTGTAATTTTGAACTGTGGCAGTCACGCTAAATGCTAGCTCAACCCTCTTGTTATTAGAGTTTCATTTTCCATTATAATTTTCATCATGAAGTAAATTTTGTATTCACAAGTTCTTCCTCGTAGTATATGGAGCTACATTCCCCATTTGAAACTCCCATTCTGAATTCACAGAAAAAATATATCCCATTTCATACTGCGCTCAAACCCATATTAGATACAAATTATCTCACTTGTAAATGGTCAGGTGAAATAAACAATACACAAAAATGGTTTGCTCTTTCCACTGCAGTTTCAAAATAACATTGCATGACAAAAAAAATGTGAAAATATGGGTCCTGTGAAATCTGTACTAATGGGGCTTTACTTTTCTCTTCATTGGTTGCATGTCCATGAAGAGCTTTAGGTAGCAAAGACACTCCTCTCCCTCATGCTCACACATCTACACATTGTCAAGTCAACTGTTTCTGATGATGGCATGTTATAGTGAACACAACTACTATTCCAGGCATTCCCCCATTGTCTTCAGGTTTTCCAAACACAACATTTTGGAAAGTGATCTAAGGGAGGAGGGGTTCTTACCCAAGTGGGTCCACTGGGCCCCGAGTGAGTACAATTCATTTTCCCCTTACATATGATGACATAAACTGATCAAATTTTGCAAACAGCAGTGCTTTAAAAAGTAATGGGCAATGTCTGAAATAACAATCATAATTAACTCTTTCCACTACCATTTTTTAAACTACGTGCCTTAAAGCTTATGTTTACATAAGCCCACTTTTTGTAACTCATTTCTGTGGCAAGTAACATGCAAAGACACAATAACCAATGTTCCTCAACATGAGCCTTACTTCACACCATAAGACATCCAAATTCTTTGCTGCAAACTGTTGAAAGTATAAAAGTATAGACATGTATTAACTGTTAAATAAACATTGCATTTGTGCTACACATACATTATCTGGGGAGAATGCTTGCCAGGAAAGGTGTCAGTGATTAACAGAATCACCTTTCCCCACAATTCAACAAAGAAAATATCTTTTGCAGTAAATGTTTGTTGACCAGCAAAAATTTTCCACGGGCTGGTGGTTGTGGAACACTGAACTGATTAATGATGGAAGCACTCACATATTACAATATGTCTGACAGACAATAAAACACAAGAAACAGAGAGAACAAACAGATGTGAGTCACTGTCCTGCTTGTGAGCAAACACCTGGCACATCTGAACAGTCAAGTGGAGAGGGCAATGCTTTATTTTTATCCAACTGTAGTGATTAAAATTCAATATTTTAAAAATAACTACATTTTTCAATTTATTTTATACACAAATTTAGGTTTACTTACATAAATACAAGTTATAATATCATTTAGTTCACCACATTTTAATTCAAGAGTGATATATGCATTTAAAGAACTGAAGGGATTTTTTTTTTTTAAACAGAATTTCATGGTACATTGTCAGAGAATACCAAAGGATCACTTTCATTAACATTAATATTACTTTCAAAAGACAAACTATTCACACAGTGTGACAATATAAACTTCGCAGCAGGTGGATAAAATTAAATATAACGATGGCTGGGAATACTGTGCATGATCTGTGTTAACCTTGGCAAGAAACTGGAAACCAGTAAGAGGTAACTGTTTGGGCAGAAACAAATCTTGCACATCAGTCTGCATGTGAGCTCTATTTACATCAATACTTTCGGAGAAATCATCACAGCCGGATGCATGAGTTCTGCAGCAATGTAACGCTCAAGCCAAAGTGGTACTCATAATGTTAAGTCATGAAGATAACAGACAACAGCTTCCTCTCTTATCACGGGCATTCAGCATGACGGTCTCCTCCACTTGTCGTACATTTTCCGGGTTCCGCATGTAATCATCTGCTATCGTCTGGAAGAGCTCCACTGCACACAATATAAAGTTGGGTTCGATTAGATTAGGGTAAACGCTAAGCATTAAGTTATCACTGCATTGCAAGTGTTTATGATTAGTGCTCTAGCAGTGAATGGAATGCAGTACTTTGCTCAATGAAGCCTTCTGACAGTCATGTGGCCTCATGAAAATATGTCAGTTAATTTATGGATGGCCCAGCTGCTAAGGTTACATGGGTCCATCATGGTTGAGTGACTGGCCCTCCTGCTTCATAGTGATGGAAACATGGGCTCAGATGTCAGCCCAGAGACCAGCTACACTGAGGGATTGTTCATAGGTTCCATTAATTTTACCAAACAAATACTATGACAGAACCTCAAATTATGCAATGCCCACCTACTTCTACATTCTTAACACTACACTCTCTGTGGCACTACTGACAAGTTCATATAAAGGTAAAGTTTTACCTGTGCTTAATTAATTAAGCACTATGCTATGAAGACATGATGAAGTTAAGGTATAGCTACGTGATTCTTGATTTTGGCACTAGATGGAGATGAGTGCTCAGCTTCACACCCCAGCACACACTAGATAGGAGGCTGGGTGGGCCCCTAGACCCAGCCTGGACATTGGAGAAGAGAAAAATCTCTCCCCTGCCAAGAATCAAACCCTGGCTTTCCAGCCTGTCCCTATACTGACCACTGGTTCATTAAGTAAACCATAAAAGCATAAAGCATGTGTCTATATGAAGTCACTGGAAAAGCAAAATCAGAAGTGTACAAGAGCAAAAGGAGACAGAAAAGTAAATAGATGGGGAAGAAAGAATTAACATGTCAATGCCTTTCTTTTGCAAGGTTATCTTATCGGGAGATAGGGGCTAGCTCCATCTATTTGACCCAACTGAGCAGGTTTTACCTGAGGACGCGGACAGAATCCAGTCTCCAAAACGTTGTTTTAAAAAAGAAACAGGACAATTTTTTTTAAAAAAATAGACAAGATGATGGATAATGTCCAAAAACATAATACTTGTAACTATATAGTGTCAGATGGTGTGACATTAGATAAATTAGGAAGGGTATGAAAAGAAATGATTGTGACCTAACTGAGGTACCATCCTGGCATTTGCTTACAGTCTGAACAGCCAGTGCCCCACCTGTGATCTGAACCAAGCATCTCCCAAATGCAAGTGAACAGAGTTATGACCAAGTCAACCCGTCTGGCTGTGTCCACGTGCAGTAAGGATTCATGTATTATAACATACCACATATGTCATACATATTTTAGAATGTATACTCTCAGGACATAACATGAGTTAAATGTTCAGGATTTGTCAAAGAACAGCAAAGACTTAGGACTTTTATATTTTATGAAGTCGTCCAATTTTAAAAATGCTAAAGACTGAGCTACATAAAAACAATATTCTGTCTGTTGTTTGGCATAGTTCTGAAACACCTCCTTCAAAATGCTTGCTGACTAATTATTCAAAATTGTTTTCCCCTCACAGTCTGATACTGCATAACGCTTACAGTTAGAATAATGTCACTCCAGCACTTACCAACATTTTCTCCTGTCTTGCTTGAGGTTTCAATGAACTGTGCCTGGATGCCGTCTGAGTATCGAGTGACCAGGTCCAAATCCACTGCTCGCTGTTTTGAATCATCCAACAAGAGGTCCAGTTTTGTTCCCACCAGGTAAATTTTACATTCCTTTGGGGAATAGATACAAACTATGAAGACCGCACACTCTCAGAGAAAACACAAGGCCAGCGAACAAGACTACAGCCTACTATGCGTCTTGGCTTTCTTGCAGAAGTATAGCTCCTGTTTATCTTAAATTTCAGAACTAGATGAGAGGGGTCAGATCATGCACTGGCTGCTTTACCCCCTGATAATCACTGCACGAGAGGTTGGGTTGGGCCCCAGGACCAGTCTGGACACAGTGGTGAAGAGAAAAATCTCCTGTTTAAAATAAGCATATCTTAGATCAATGACTTCTTTAAATATAAGTATTTCAAAATATATAAAGCTACTTTATTTACTGTTATGGTCTATCAAGAGTTTCACAAGAATGCAGTCCACATTGCACTTGAATTTCCTTATTTAAAAGCAATCACAATTACTGTAGTCGTTATAGTTCATAATTAATTATACTGTTGTGTGCTGGGAATCTGGAACATATACTTCTACGGAAACACAATAACAGTGGGCCGTTGTCTAGGAATACCTTAAGCAACAAACATGTTACCCCGAAGAATAAAGGACAACAGAGGGTTCATTGCGTTAAATAGGCAACACGCGACAATAGATATTAACGTGCAGTAGGGAGTGAGACGGAGTTCCCTGGTACTAGGCTTAAAATAGGTCTGACAACAGGTGGGCAAAGAGCATTCATTAAATGACAAATGGGAAGATGAAACCAAAATGTTCAGAGAAGAACCTGTCCCAATGCCAATTTATCCACCATGAATCATACATCAAATACCGCAGGACACAGGCTGGGTCTCCATGCTGAGAATTCAGTGACAAGCTGCTTGAGTCATGACATGGCCTACCCACATCTAGGGAAATTCAATAGTTGCCAGCTTTAAAACATACATTCCTAGAAAAAAATACTTATGTCCCCAATTTCTCATTCAACAATCAACAATGGTTTCCTGATGGCTCATGGAGATTAGTAAAGTTTTGCTTATACCCAAATGTTTCCTCATAGACTGGATCCCTGCACACAAGCACACACAAACACATATATTTATATGTTACTGAAGCAAAATTAATATTTCTGCATTAATGACAAACCATCCAGAAAACAAGAGCACAGAGATGTTGAATGAAAGAGGGTGGAAAGATTATAGAAAATAAGTCACTATGGTCACCATGAGGTGAAGGAAGTAGGGGGTAAGGGAGGGGAGGAAGAGGATGAAAAAGAATAAAGGAAGAAGGAAACATGTTATTGGAAAAAGAAAACATTCTAAGTATCTCATACAAGACAGGTTTGAAGGGGGCAGACTAGATGAATACATGACCATAAAGGTAAGGTAAAAAAAGGTAAAGCTATCCCTGTAACAGACTGTGGGGCCCATAGTTATGAGACGTCAAGGGTCCCACATTTTCTAGAAAATCGGCTCACAGATGGCGGTAAGGTTGTCAGCCTTACGTGCCAGCTGCCCTTTACCCTCTAGGAAGATCCCTGGTACTCATTTCTGTTAAGAGGCTGAGTTGATCCCAGGGCCACAGTGCAGTTTGAAGGATTAGGTAAATTGAAAAATCCACCCCATCGGGATTTGATCCCGTTACCTTCCGGCTTGTAGCACAGTGCCTCAACCAACTACACTACCACGTGCCCCGAATACATGACCATGGAAACTGAAAATAACAAACTCATGAAGGGACAAAGCCAAGAAAAACAGAATAAAATGAATCACACTGCTACACTGTGAGGTCTGGTCAGCTACATGCAACTCAGTATGGCTGCCATGCAAATTCTCTACCTCTTCGTATCTTCTAAGTTCAGTTATCCAGAACTTTGCTCTGTCCCAGGATGGTCGATCTGTAACATCATAGCAAACTATGGCTGCTTTTGCTCCTCGATAATATATACGACTCATTGCTTCATACCTGAAATACAAATCACACCAGTTACTTTCCAAAGCCTCAGCAAGCAAAGACATGGGTGCTGCAATTCAATACACTTGGAATTTTATATTTGCAAAAGCTGACTGTTGGTAACTATGCTTTAACCATTTAACCTTTTGATTTCCAACCTCAACAGTAATGTAAAGGCAAAACTTGTCCTTGCTCCTAACTAATTCAACACTACGCCACATATTCTTGACCTCAGCACTAGATGGTGGTGAGTATTCAGCTTCACACCACAACCACTTTACCCCAAGGAAAGAGCCCATGGTACCCACTGGATAGGAGGTTGGGGGTGGGGGCCCACAGCCCGATTCGATGCTGTGGAGAAGAGAAAAATATTATCCTTGTTGGCAGTTGACCCCTGGCCATCCAGCCCACAGCCTACTGCTATACCCAACCTTGCCACCACCAGTTACAAATTCATTTATGAAGAATTATTAAAAAAAACTGTCTGATGTGAGAAAATATAAAACTACTGCCATCTGTTACACATATATGTGAACTACTGGAAGATAGAAGAATTTAAGGACAAAGCACTCAGCATAGCATGACAGTGTAGTGGTTAATGTGTAAGTTCATGGCAGAAGGCTTCAGAGAGTGAACTTGTACGGCAAAATAATGATACTGGATGTCTTCTGACTGATAAGAGGAAAGCAGTTCGTCTGACAGTTACATTTCATCTACCCACACTTTATACCTCAATGTCAGATTATGACAATACAACACAAAAAATACTGTACCATGAAAGGTTGATTTACATCCAAGCAGTAACCTAATGCACAGCAGTGTCCTGTGGTGCGTGTAGACTGTCTCTGTATTCCCACTGCAGAGCGACATAACAGACCACACAGAATGACGTCTGTCATAATTAATGTAACATACTTTTACCTTTCACTGCCTGCAGTGTCCCATATTCCCATCATGAATTTCTTCCCATTTGAGTCAGCTTCCTTGGCTGCAAACGCAGCTCCAATAGTCTGGGGATAAATGAATCATTTCAATATAAACTGCATCAGATGAACAAGCGTTTCATCACAATATGATCTTCTAAGGCGTGACACCGTGTAAACTTGTATGTGGATACCAAACTTCTGAAGCAACATGCTACTTCCATCTTCAGGCTGAGTGTTTTTGTGTCTATGGTAACCTTGGGATTAAGAAAACCAAAGGTCATTAAGCAGTTCACATAAATAATGACACTTTCATGACACACTTATAACTGACCTCTGCATTGTCAGCAGTCCAACTGAAACCATCATGAATGACAGTTCTGGGGCTAGTAGCTACAATTCCATCCTTTGGTTGGTTATAAAACGATTATGAATGATGAATTGAGAAGAGGAAAGGAAGTGGTCCTGGCCCATTTTAAGGAACAGCCCACAGCAGTTGGTTGGAGGGACTGACAAAAGCCATTGTGGTATCCAGTCTCTGGTTGACCTAAAGCCTTTTGAATAGGAAGCAGTGGCAATCACAAAATGACATCAGTATTAAGTGTGTGTGTGTGTGTATGTGTGTTCACAGGTATCCCTTCATTTATGAAGGTAACATGTTGCATGAAAACTTTCTGTAAGGTAAAAATTCAAAAATCAAATTCCCATTACTTTACATGTAAAAGTCACTGAACTCATGAATGTAAGTCGTTTGCTGTACCGAAAATTCGTAAATTCGGTGTTCATAAAATGAGGGATACCTACATATATTATTTTTGTGATTCAAAAAGAGAAAGCTATGGAAGCTACTTGTGACACATTCAATATTATAAATAATAAAAAAAGCTTAGTGTTATGAATTGAAATAATCCTCATACCAGAGAATTTGCAAAACATGACAATGTGCAAAGTACAGAAATGACATACGTAGATACTCTGTTAAAGTCTGTCTGCTCTACTGACCAACCAGGGCACATCAGACATCGTGTAGGCAATCCTATGGGAGTCTCATATACAAATGTGTGAATTCCCTGCCTGCATATGAATACCGGATGTGTTCTGAAAATGGGATCTAATACATTCTTAATAATTATGTAACTTCCTTTGTCACTAACTGACTATGATGCACTGTTGGTTCGATAGCAGATTGAGTACAGATTAATGGCTTACTTACATTATATAGAAGGTTGATTAATAAATTAAGAACTGAAAATGATGTGCAAGGAAGTGGTTGTGGCCTAATTTGATGTACTGAAGAAAATCACAAAGAGCCTCAGTCAAGACAGGAGTTCTTCAGATCAGATTCTGAACCTGGAACTTGAAAATATGAAGCAGGGGTGTTAACTATTTGATGTAAATAACGTACTGATTACGACTTACAGTCAAGATCACAGTCTTCTGTGGCATAATGTCATGTAGGTTGGTTAACAGAAACAAATGTTTATAAGTAACTTGGGGCCTCCATCTTCAGGGAGGCAGCAGGTTCCTCTGAAAAGATAATACCTATCTACCAAACTAGATGCTGTCACATCCTAGAAGACTGTCTTAATAGTCACTTCTGCAAGCACCTTAAATTTCACCTGGCATAAAGTTTACTCGAATCCAATGTCAGTGTAATGTCGGGTTTTAATCAGAAGCAAGAAAGATGATCTCACTTATGAGTCAGTCTTGCTCCCAACAAGTTGCTGCTCCAAGGCATATCTGCACAGCCACTGTGTCTTCTGATGCAACCATTTTTGGCACTCAGAATCAAGGGTGGGTTTTGGCTGATATATCAACTGCATTGTGTACACCCCATCAAAGGAGAGACACAATGAATGTGAATATTAACTTGGGAAAGTTGTGGAAGAAAGTGCATATCACCAAATTTAAGGCACTATTCTAGTGCTTGACTGGCGGGACTGAGGAAAACCAAACATAATTAAAATAAAAAGCTGCCATGAGGAACAACTGGGTATCTGGTGATCTGAATTATAATTCTCTTTTGTGGTACAGTAACCCACAACTGTTTTAACTTCAGTTACCAGGTCTGCTATGATAAAGGCCAGAATCCTGCCAGCTGCACTATAGCCCTGGGGTAAACTCAGCCTCTAACAGAAAGGAGTAACATGAATCTTCCTGGGAGTAAAGGGTGACCAGTGAGTAAGTCTGACACAACCTCGCGGCCATCTGTGAGCCAACTGTCTAGAAAATGTGGGAGCCTAGACATCTCACAACCCTATAGACCTCCACAGCCTATTACAGGGATACCTTTACTTTTTTTTAATTACAAATGTTCCTATAGAGTGTCAAATAAAAGTAAAAAGTGACAGTAAAGCTATCCCTGTAGTAGGCCATGAAGGTTCATAAGACTGTGAGATGTCGAGACTCCCACATTTCTCTAGTCAATCAGCTCACAGATGGTGGTAAGGTTGTCAGCCTTATGTGCCTTTCCCCCCAGGAAGATTCCTGATACTCATTTCTGTTGGAGGCTGAGCTAACCACATAGTGCAGCTGGAAGGATTAGGTAAATTGAAAGATCCACCTAATCAGAACTCAATCCCGTGACCTTCTGGCTTTTAACATAGTGCCTCAATCAACTACGCTACCGTGTGCCCCCACATAGTTTCGAACAAAACATTAACACAATTCTGAATATGAACATAGCATACAGGTTCAGAATTTGGGGAATATGGATCAAATTGTTATATAATTCAATGGTAAGAGATTTTTTTCAAAGTTGATGGTAACTTTCATGTAATTAAAAAATTCCCTGCTTTCTTGAGTGACCAGAACGTTCGTTCGAAGAATCGTCACTCTTTGGGTACTGGTTATTATGCAACAATAAGAATGTGATGACTGAAAAAAACAAAAGATACACAATACACCTGAATTTACTTTAATAACGAACTTCTTATAATAATTCCACAATATGTGATATTTGAGGATCTCATGACAGTAAGCACCAGCATTACGGTTTCTGGGACGTGACACCATGCAGTTTGGTAGACAGATACCACTGTTTTAGAGGTTTCCAAAAAGTCGGCAAGTATGTACCAAACTATATGGTGTCAAAAACCTCAGAATATAATCTTTATTCCAAAATAAGTTTTACCATTCCATACGTATTTAACAAGCTGCTATTTATCATATCAAGTACAATATTGCAAATCAAATAAAGTAGGGGAAATATTAATAAGAGCTACACAAATAATAATGTAATCAAGCTTGCTGTTGTCACCGATGAATTGAAAAACGATCATTAGAGATTCACGATACATACACACTTTGAACATTTACACTTTTATTTTAACTTTTTAAAGACTCCTTGGGCATTCTTTACACTTGTTCAATAAGTTACAGAAAACTGTTTCAAAATTCCTCTCACATATGTACCAACAAAATTCATACGGATTTCAGGCGACGATCTATAAATACACACTATCTACCTATCTATGCCTCTGCAGTCCTTCAGTTGTGCCTTAGCCACTTTTTAGTTTCTTAATCATATACACAGTCGGTAGGACTCCTTGGACGGGGGATCAGCCCGTCGCTACCTACATACAGAATAAACGCACACAGACATCCATGCCTTGAGTGGGATTCCAACCCACAATCCCAGCGTTCAAGCGAGCAGACACTCCATGCCTCAGACCTCGCGACCACTGTGATCGGCAAAATACACACTACGATCGCTAATTCTTTAAACAAGTAAATGTGTAAATTCTTGAGTTTATCACCATATTTCTGCAATATAAACAATTTACAGACACAGACACTTGAAATGTCATTAAATTAAGGTTATGTTACTTACGTTCTGATAGGGAATATTCCCTCTGAAACGGTCATAAACAAAACGTTCAAGTATGCTTGTTTTCCCTACATATTCGCTACCCAGTAGAACAACCTTCAAATCCACCCTGCTCATTATGACACCAGTGGATTAATAATTACGTCCAGTCACCTCCCTAACCATTGCGGACTTCTTTCGAATATGTTGCTCTGATCCGTGACACAGCAGCACTCACGGATCACAAAGCAGTTAGAGCAGCTTGAGATAACTAGTCGAAATCAAAACTTCGAAGACAAAAACCGAGATTAACTGATATTACTCATTCGAGTTTCGCAGTCCTCGAAGTCAAGGTCGTCAAGGTCACAATTGAGTGAGAACTGTCGAACTGGTTGATATGCTTAGTTTCGTACTGATCAACGCAAAGAAAAAATTGTCCTCGAATATTTCGATTGGCCCATATTTATCGAATAACGACAGAGTACAAATACACAGGAAGTCATCAAAAAAAAAAAGGACAACACGAAATAACTGAAGTGACATAATGGGGAAATTTAGCTGCTTTCTGGTTACAAGAATGGGAACGGATTCGGTAAATCGACTGGAAATGCAATCTAAATTATACACCATGGGCAATTTTTAAAATTTAAACATTTTCAAGGCTCTGAAAATAGTGTACGTTGCTGTTAAGGTATAATGTAATAAATATTTAACATTTCCTAAAGAAGAGTAAACGTAATATTTTTCAAATATCCGGAACGTTTTTGAAAACGTGAAAAGTTTTGTCAGTGTTCGAAAGAACAGAAGTTTGCGAGAGTAGGAATGTATGTAAAGTAATGCAGTTTAGGAAGATATGGACAATTTCGGATTCGCAGATAGATTTTGATGATAGGAGGGCAGTATGAATATGGGTAATGCGCAAAACTATGAACATTTTCTCTTTCCTTTTAGTATGGATTCAATAAATATTTCGTTTTTTAATTTTAACTATACTAAAATGGTGTGTACAAAACTTAGACTTGTTTCTTATTTGTGTTCTTACATTTTGATAAATTAGCTTATTTCAAATGATTTCATGTAAAGGTATGATTGTTGGAGTTTCTTGTGAGGTTCTTAATAATGACTAGTATATGTTTATTTTAATTTTATTGTTTTTATTGACAAATGTGTTTTACATGTATTATATTCGTATTTTATACTGTTGTATTTTGACAGTCTGCTTGTTGGTAAAGCAATGATTTTTTATCTGACTGTTCCTATATCCGATGGTTGTTCTCACAACCTTGTAAAGATCTTATGGAATATAATAAAATGAATATGAATATGGAGTGAAAAGAGTCTTGTTGAATCCAGCTGTAAGTGCACTTGTTCGTATTGATAACTAAATAACTGTTTCAATAGTTCCATCCTGCTTGCGAATATTGGATGGTTTTGGTACAGTAATTGTAACCGATTATCCAAGCTGCGAATTGAATACACTTATCACTTTCAATTCATGGCACTACCTTCCCTTCCACGCCCTCCACGCCCTCCACGCTCGCCCGTCAGGCAGCAGTATTAACCAACCCTAGTCCTCCTAGGTGGCAGGACGTGTCACGTTAGGGTCGGAAACAGAGTCTGCAATGGTTTCCAAATTGCTCGAAGATGGCAGAGTCATTCATATTTGTTCGTGTACATATCGGGCACAAAATGTAACTAAAGCTTAACCGACCGTACGATGTCGCCACAAGTACTGAAGATAAGTGCAGGGGAACGGAAAGTAGTCGGTGTATTTTCGTTCTCTGTCCAGTGTAGAGTTTGTGATTGGTCGATATTAATTCGGTAAACAGTGTCATATCTTAATTTGTAAATAGCCAGTGCTACGATTATTTTGTTTGGTTCTTCATTGTCTCCAGGGTGAAATGTAAGTACCATACTAAGCTGCACAATATGTCATATGTTCTCAGCTTTTATTGTTCAAGGAATGTATGGAGCCTATACATCGAAGTTTCGTACTATGGCGTAATATTTGTTGTAGTATATATGCAGTATATAGTATGCAGTGTGTGTGTAATATATACAGAAAGAAGCTTCATGTAGTGAAGGGCTGTAAAATCAATACAAATGAAAACATCTATCAATCGCCCTGGGGGCGTAACCCTAACGTTAAGAATTATCAATGCAGGAAGCACAGCTGATGCAGTGTTTAGGCCAGTGGCGTACTAAGGATTTGCCCATATAAGTTACAGTTTATTTCAAGATGTAAGCGGATATCCTAAAATTGTTTCTCATCGCGTATGAACTTCTTGTAAGTAAATAATTAATTAATAACCTGGTAAAGTAAAAATGGCGGTCACATAAAACAGATGAAAGATGAAATTGGTTAGTGGTATAATAGTGGTGTTACGTTGTTCTTTCGTTACGTTTGGATCAAGAAGAATAATATTTTGTTAGTCTAATGCAAGATAGTCGTACTGTCGATATGTGCCCTGAGCGCAGAAATGAGATTACCAATATTTCCTTGTTAATTGAGGTCTGTGTAATGTACAAAATAGCGCCACTTCGTTGTTAATGGATGGCGCTCCGGTTTTCCCTGCACTTTCACAGTTCCACGGGTTAAATTCCCAAAGCAGTTGCTGCGTAGGGATTGTGAGGGTAATGGGGTAATGCAGAGTACTGTTACACGTTCTGTCATATTTATTCTACAGGCATCTGTCTTTTGAAGCGTTTATCATAGGCATGAATCTCAGTGCAAACACCAGGCATCAGATAGGAGTCTTATGATTTTTTAAGTCCTCCGAGGACAATTTTGTAACGTTTTAAAATAGACCACAACCACTTCCTTCTTCAGTAATTCACAACAATCATACAATGCGATGATGTATACCATATGCAGGTGTTAAAGCGAAATTGGATTCCAAGGGTCGGTAAATCAAAGCCGTATTTAGATTGTGGTCTTCTGGATTACTGCAGTATGCAGTCTGGTAGTTTCAGATGAAGCTGCTGCCTCCATCTTCAGGGAATAAAAGTATATTCCCCAGAAACTTTGGCAACCACCAGTCAGATTACACGGCGTCACCAGACGTTACAGCTGAGTGATTAGTTCTCACGTTTCATGTTCTTGGGGTCCAGGGTTAAAATCTTGTCTCTAAGACCAGTCTTTTTTTTTTTTTTTAGTTTTCTTAAGCCTCTTCTGGAAAATTCAGAGGAAGTATCTTAAATTTGGCCACTTCCGTTTCCTTGGACATCCTTCCCAATTAATTATACTTATATTAGTCATCCTAACATTCGAAGCTGTAAGTTGTGATCTGAGCAACTGACGGCGTCATTACATAAACCACGAATAAAAAATGCACAGTACAGTAGACTCTCGATTATCCGCGCGCTGTTTAACCGCTTTGCGGCTCAACCGCGGCAATGTATTTTTAAAGATTTTTTTTTTTCAGTGAGTATCACATTTGTTTAAATGTTTTGTATGACAGTCAATGTTAGTTTACTATAATTTAGAGAGAACTGTACTCGCATTTACGTCATCCATCGATATTCTCCCGTTATTTTTCTTAAAAGCTCGAAATCAGGTTTCGAAAGCTCGAAACCTACCCTTTTTCCAACAAGTAGAGAATGTTAAAGAACCTTGACCAGCAAGGAGCCATAAATCTGTCTGGTGTGAGACCTCAATTAGCAANTCATTATGACGTTATACATAAATGTCATTCTCTGCCGATTGTCCTGCATGGACACGCAGTCTTGCTCGTCTCCTGTTGGCAAGTAGCGACTATCAGCTTGCTGGACTCTGATTTTCTGGCCGCAACGTCCACTGATTCTTAATTGTGTTCGTGTATGGCTCGCGGCATTCTTAATTATGTTGAGGTTATACACATTTAACAATGGCCTTGTTTTGTCATCTCATTGGCCTGCGCTATATTTTGTTATCTGTGGCCTAGTAGCCAGAGATGCTGGCTACAGATCCAGAGGTTCGGGTTCGATTCGCGGCGCTACCAGATTTTCTGAGGAATAGTGGGTCTGGAACGGGGTACACTCAGCCTTGTGAGGATAATTGAGAAGCTATTTCAGGGAAATAGCGGCTCCGGTCTAGAAAACCGGAATTAACGGCCGTGGGGATTCGTTGCACTGACCACGCGACACCCTCTATCCGCTAAAGTTGGCACTAACTTCGCCGACAAGCGGAGATCGCTCGGTCGGTATAGTTCGCTTGCGGGCAAAAGGCCACGAAGTTTGCTTTTGTTTTCTTATCTACATATTTAAACTCTCCATATCGGCCTGCACGTGTATATAATTGTAGTTTTAATATTGTATGTAGAATATGTTGCCCGGTTTCAGTCTCCCACTGAATGTACTACAGTCCTAGAATAGCTATCCGGCACGTACACTGAACGCGACACAGGGATGCATTAAGGTAAGGGAGTCTACTAATTGCAGTACTCTTGTGACATTTATACTTCACATCACCACACAAAGAGCGAACACTCGTATGTAATAATATTGTCACGTTTTTATGCAGTGTCAATATAGACGGGGTTTGGATCGATGCTCGGTTTTGCTGGACTCTTTGATACAGGGCGTGGCTACACTTCACAGTTCACTATTACACACACTAGTGTCCACGGTAACGTCTTCACTAGCCGTTGCTTGGTAGCGGCTTCAGTGGCAAGCACGCAAGGGAGTGGAAAGAACTGCCTACGTTGTTTTTGTAGGAAAACCTGAAGAGAAGAGAACACATGAGAGACCCAGAGATAAATGGGAAGATAATATTAAATCAGTATTAAACAAATAAACGTTGTAAGCATGGATTGGATTCACTTTTCTCAGGGTAGGGTCCAGCAGTGGTGCTCTTGTGAACACGATAATGAAACTTAGGGTTCAGTAAATGGCAGGGTATTTCTTGACTGACTGAGCGACTGTCAGCTTCTTATCAAGCGTCTACACTGTGCAGTTTGTGTATTTTACAACGTAAAAACGTAAAGTTGTCCCTGTGCTTAACTAATTACGCATTATACCATTAATGGATGTATAGGTCCAAGTATTCTTGACCTCAGCACTAGATGGAAGTCAGTGGTCAGCTTCACGCCCCAACCGTTCAGCCCCCTTGGAAAGAGACCCCGGTACCCATTGGACAGGAGGCTGGGTGGACCCCAGAGCCGGTCTGGACGACGTGGTAAAGAGAAAAAATTCTCACCCCTACCAGGAATTGAACTTAGACTCGGCCCTCCAGCCCGTAAGCAGTCGCTGTACCGACTGAGCTATCCCGGCCCCCACTTTACAATGTATTCTTGCTTAATTCGTGGTTTATATAACGCCGCTGTCAGTAGAAGCGTCCAGTGGTAGGAAGAATGATGAATTGGAGACGATCTGGAACCGGTCCTGACATTTTCGTGAAGGCAGTGAGAAAAACTACGAAAGCCGGTGTCAGGGCTT